AGCTATTGCCAGGCGTTTCTTAGTAGCAAAATATCACGAAATGTGCTAGATAACTAAAGTGAGAGAACGATAAAATGTTGAATTTGAGAAACAACAGATAATCGTCGAATGAATCCACACATGTACGTACATAAATACTATTCCAATCAATTAAGCAAGTCGCTTGTATTAAAACGCTGAACTGAACGCTCATCAATATAAATGAACCACACTGGAGCGGGCATGTGCGAGTACTCGTGCACACATTAGCACAAATTGCAATTGCAATTGCAATTGGAAAACATGTGTGCTCTCCGTGTCTATTCTGTGACCGTGTGTGAGTGTGTGTACATTTGTTTACGTGGTCAGACGGTTTTTATTTGCATTAAAATTGAGGTTAATAACTATGGGGCAGATTTGTTGCAACTGTCAATGCATGTCCATTAGAACGCTTGCGTCCGTTCAATTTGATGCGTCAAATGGTCGATTAGTGTGACCGCAACCCCCAACAGGCACTCGGCAGCCAGCCGCTCGGTACTCGCCGATTACAGAATCCTATATTATTAATGCCCCAAACCAAAGCCCACCCTCCCCACCACCGAACCACCTAACGTGTGAGTGAGTGGATATTCTCCTATGCTAATTTTAGAAGCCGGGAGCGAGGAGAAATAGCCGTAGTTGTGGCTGTTGTGTGGACAAGTGGCAGTAGCACAGACGATTTAGCCACGTTAAATCCAAAAACTGGCTATCTATTACTATGGAGTAATTTTATGGCAGAAACAAGAGATTTTGGGATAAAAGCCAGAAATTCTGTTTAGGAAAAGTCGTGAAGTGAAACAGTGCGAAAGCCTTGGAGCCTTCTGTGATTAGTCCATGAATGGTGGCAGTCGATCGACAGGGCAATGGAAGAATATATGTTTTAGAAAGTACACAAAAATCACTTCAAACATTGGCAAGATTATCCGAATCATGTGTTACTTTTGTTAAGCAGTTTTTGTTAGCTATCAAGCTATATAAAGTCCAGCTTATTGGGCAGCACTGGCAGTCTGGTGTGGTGTCGACTGTTGGGCAGCACTGGCAGCACCAGTAGCTGTCATTGTTGGCTGTGTTGCCCGTGGCCGGTTTGCCGTTGCTGCTGACGAGTATGTGATGCTACGGACCCAGACAACTTTTGGCACAATTAAATTAGCATTTCAGTTTGGTCGGTCGTTTCGTTGCACATTATTATACTCGAGAGATTTAATACCAAGTGCCGCTTATCTAATTAGTCTGACATGTGAGCTGCTTTTAACCTGGCTTCCTGCATGCACATTCACGTACGAGCACATTGAGGACGACCTCCCCCCTGGATGCCCCAGGCGACCACGGGCCTGAGTGCAGCAAACTTCGTACGGGCCTTTCCGTTCGTTACCTTTGATTATGCCGAAAATATTTTCACAAAGAGAATATCGTTTGCATAATTGCTTTTTAATTACCATATTTTCCTCTAAGCTGGTGCGTGTGTGTCTGTTCGAAAGGCGGCAGGCGGCAGGCGGCACCACACAGCACAGAGCAGCACAGACTCTCCAAAGGTAAACAAAAAAAGTTTTATTTCATTAGCCTCGTTCTGTGCCTGCTGTTGCTGCTGTCTGGCAGTCTGGTTGGCCGGCTGACTGGCTGGCGTGTCTTATCCTCGTTTTATATACCGTACCACTCGTAGAGTACAAGAAGAAGTACATATATCGTACGAGTATGTGACAGGCCGGGGGACAGCTCTCTGTGTATGATATTAGATATTGGGTAGTATTAAATTAGACTAATGTCTAGAGTACTTTGCGATGCCTGTAGAGATCACTTTCTTTTCTGAATTAGTGTACAGGGTATGCCCCCAAGTCGGCTTATCCCACCTAGCGCACAGTATTTGTAGTGGGGTATGGTTCAGAGAAGAGCAGGGCGACGACACGTACAAACGGAATGCCGAAAATGTACTTAATGTGTATTTGTGCGATCGTGTAAACGCAAAAATATGCGCCAAAGCCATAAAAACTGAACAATGAGCAGAAAAATGCGAATATATGCATGAAAATTAGCCGCTTAGTCAGGCAGGAAGGAACGGTAGGGGCCGAGATACAGATACAGGCAGTGATAAAATGTTGTTTTCTCTTCGCCTCGGAAACTTGTTTAATAATTAAAAAATCGGCACACTCACACGCGTACACACACGTGCAAACATATCAAATCGGAATTAGAAACTTTCGAAACGTCACAAGACTGTTGATAATGCGCGCGGGTAGCATGACGTTGGACCCCCAGCTCTCTGGGCGGGAAGTGGCATTATTCATTCATTATTCATTGAAAAAAAATCGTATTTAATTGATACGTTTTGATATCTACAAAAAATGCAATAATATTTTTGATTTATAGTAAATGTAGACCCTTCAAAGTAAAAAGTTAAGGATCAGCTACGAGTTATATGATTGGTAAATGTGTGTTCTCAACCTTGTGTGGGCTTGTTACTTTTGTAAATTTACAGTAAGGTTTAATTTAAATATTTGTAATATTTTTGTTAGTTTCGTTTCTTGTTTAAGTACAGAACTCCAAAATAAATGCAAATTTAACCAGAGTAACACATGTGTGTAAATATATGTGAAACCATATTGGAATAGTTTATATTTAACTGTTGTTTTCTACAACTTTTGCGACTTCTTTTCGGTGTAGAAACTCTGTTCAATATTTTGGTTCAAGGCCATGGAAATGCTTCCGCTGTTCCGCTTTTCCATGCTGGAGGTTTCGGAGGGTGTTTCAAATTATTGTTAATAAATTTGGAGAAGTACCTAGGGGTGGACCATTTTGGGACCAAGGAAAAAAATCCCGGCACGCGCTTTCATTCCAGTCTGCAGTCGCTCCAAATGGCATCCAAATGGGTGTTTCGAATTAGCTGTGACTGCACACAATAAGCTGTGACTGCACACATTAAGCTGTAACTGCATATAATAAGCTGTGACTGCATACAATAGGCTGTGACTGCATACAATAAGCTGTGACTGGATACAATAGGCTGTGACTGCATATAATAAGCTGTGTGGCTGTATGTTTTAAGTTGTTTGGGTGTATGAAATTAGCTGTATTAGAGCATATGTAGGGGAATTTCTTTACATTTCCCATTCCGTTTGAAAGTAAACAATTTTTGAAGCATACATTTGTGAAGTAAATCTAATAAATAATTTTTAAATGTTCCAGTTCCGTAGAAATTGATGCGCCTACCCCTTTTCTGGCGATATTTTGTGCATGCTAAATGAACAAGTGCATTATTAATTATTGTCCACCACCACCCACCCGCCACATTAGGATTACACTCGAGTACTTATACACAGGCACGCCCATCCATTTCCAGTCAAATTCCCATTCACATTCAATCGCCTCGGTTCGCGTCCGCGTCCGCGTTCGGTGATGAATTTGCGTGAGAGTGAGACGCCAAACGACAGCTGACTTTAATTTACTGTTGCGAAACGTGGCCGCCGCACAGGAGGGCGAGAGTGGGACGAGGAGGAGGTGGAGGAGGAGCCTGCCTGGAGTATCGGAACGCACGTGTAGTATGCCTCTGTCCCACTGGAATGCCGCGCCACTCTTTATTGGCATGCATTTGTTTCTGTTTCTGTTGTGTACAGTTGTCAGTCAATGCGTCAAGCGCAGAATAGCAGCAGGGAGGCAAACCTGCACGTCCTGTCTGTCTGTCTATCGCTAGCGATGGACTTCGGCCGTGTCGACACGGAACGACACGAGAACTAACGAAACTGTACTTAAACTTAAACTGATTTTACCTGGTTCAAAATTCATTCACTCATTCAATCTTCATTCGCGAATAATTATGCAAATCCACGTATGACGGGCACTTTTTTGTTGAATCGCAGAATAAAGCCACCTGGCCTGGTTTTTTGTCTCATGGGAGTACTCCAATATGACTGTTCAAATTTTCGCCCACTTAGGCCCATCCAATTAGCTATGCAAATGATATGATACCAGAATACCAGATTGATTTGCCAGCGAATGCGACAATTAAGAACATCCGTGGTTAAGTCCATGCCCCCAGCCATCTCTAGCCTTTTTTTGTGGGTCTCGCTCCCTCTCTCTCTCTTGTTTCTGGCCGTCTGTCTGTCTGTCTTTTAGCGCTAGTCCTCGTCGGGCCTGTCTAAAGTCAACGCAACAACGCGCTGCCGTGATTGTTAGCCATCGCGCTATATTTATTCGGATGGCGTTGATTATTTTTCTAAATTCTGTGCACATATTTGCATTCGTGCATTGAGAAGAAGTGACAGCCAGTGGCAGCAATAAGAATGCTCCTGTTTCAACAGTTTATTGTGAAACGGGTGCAATTAATCAAGGGCTAACAAAAAGAGGCATCAGTTGACCGAGATCATACGGAAATAGGGTGAATCGTACGTGAAGAATGGACGCTTGCATAGAGAAAGGCAGCGTGCACGTTGATATCCACTCGTTAGTTCAACTAAATTTTGTTCTCAGTTGCACAGATGGTAAAGTGTTTTCATTGCTATTTCAGATGGGAAAAAAACTCTTTTTCTTAAGACATATGATAGAAAAATATAACATGATGATGATCATTCATTAGGTCATTCATTATGTATCCTTATTATTCCTGGTTACAGAGGTTAGCCGTTTGTTAACCTTTTGAAGAGATGTTTAACAAGAACTGAAGAGAGTACTGTTCGCTTATGCGAAATTTGAACTGTCAGTGAACATCATTGTTGCCTTTTGTTTCTGAAATTGCTGCACTGCTCTGATGGGTAGGAGAACATACGAGAACGGACGGTACGTGCAGCAGCAGGCAGGCAGGCAGGCAGGGTGCACAGTGGCAGCGGGTCGGGGCACACAAATTTATTATTAATAATAGCCATGTAATGCCACGTACATGCACATGCAGAGGCACAGGCACATCCACGGCAGAGAAGCATAAATATATGATATTGTATAAATATAAATGCTAATGGTATCCGTTTGCCTTTCTTTTCCCATTGCTTTTGCAGGCAGGCAGAATACGCTAGCAGCCAAAAGCCAGAAGCCAGAAGCCACTTGCTGACTGATCATCATTCGGCCACCAACCAGCCCCACAGTAAGAGCTGTAGGAGAAGCATACGGAACAGGGACAGGAACAAGACATAGCCAGGAGCAGAAGCAGGAGCAGTTTTTGAGCAGGAGGAGCAGCGTAGCATCAGATCTTGTGGCGGAGGTGGAGCGGCGGTGCGCGCCTCTGTGACCCAAGTCCAACATGTCTTCGCCAGCGGCCCAGAGCAACAGCAGCCAGTCGCAGTCGCCAGCGGCGGCCCAGCAGCAACAGCAGCAAAATCAAAAGGCGAACAACGCAAACAACACACACGACAACAAGAATGCCTCGGCGACGACGGGGACGGCAGCAGCCGCCACAGCAGCCTCCACAGCATCGCCAGCAGCGACAGCTGGCGGCGGCAACGGAGGCGCACCACAGAGCCCCACAAAACGGAGCACAATATCGACCAAGGAGCGTGTGATCGATAGCGTACCGTTTCCGCCAAGCCGCAAACTCACCTGCGCGGACGTGTTCGATCCACGGACCGGAAAACCACAGCACGATGTACTTAAGCAGCACTTCATACTGGAGGGACGCATCGAGGAGAGCGCCGCGCTGCGGATCATCCAGGACGGGGCCACGCTGCTGCGCCAGGAGAAGACAATGATCGATATTGAGGCGCCGGTGACGGTCTGTGGGGACATACACGGCCAGTTCTACGACCTGATGAAGCTGTTCGAGATCGGCGGTTCGCCGGCCACCACAAAGTATCTCTTCCTGGGCGACTACGTGGACCGAGGCTACTTCAGCATCGAGTGCGTGCTGTATCTGTGGTCGCTGAAGATCACCTATCCGCAGACGCTGTTCCTGTTGCGCGGCAACCACGAGTGCCGGCACCTGACCGAGTACTTCACCTTCAAGCAGGAGTGCAAGATCAAGTACTCGGAGCGCGTGTACGACGCGTGCATGGACGCGTTCGACTGCCTGCCGCTGGCGGCGCTAATGAACCAACAGTTCCTGTGCGTGCACGGCGGCCTGTCGCCGGAGATACACGAGCTGGAGGACATACGGCGGCTCGACCGCTTCAAGGAGCCACCCGCCTTCGGCCCCATGTGCGACCTGCTGTGGTCCGATCCGCTGGAGGACTTCGGGAACGAGAAGAACTCGGACTTCTACACGCACAACTCGGTGCGGGGCTGTTCGTACTTCTACAGCTATGCCGCCTGCTGCGACTTCCTGCAGAACAACAATCTGCTGTCGATCATCCGGGCGCACGAGGCGCAGGACGCCGGCTACCGCATGTACCGCAAGAGCCAGACCACCGGTTTCCCCTCGCTGATCACCATCTTCTCGGCGCCCAACTATCTCGATGTGTACAACAACAAGGCGGCGGTGCTGAAGTACGAGAACAACGTGATGAACATCCGGCAGTTCAACTGCTCGCCGCACCCCTACTGGCTTCCCAACTTCATGGACGTGTTCACCTGGTCGCTGCCCTTCGTGGGCGAGAAGGTCACCGAGATGCTGGTGAACGTGCTGAACATCTGCTCCGACGACGAGCTGATGACCGAGGAGAGCGAGGAGCCGCTCTCGGACGACGAGGCGGCGGCGCGCAAGGAGGTCATACGCAACAAGATCCGGGCCATTGGCAAGATGGCGCGCGTCTTCTCCGTGCTGCGCGAGGAGTCCGAGAGTGTCCTCCAGCTGAAGGGCCTGACGCCGACGGGCGCCCTGCCCCTCGGCGCCCTCTCCGGTGGCAAGCAGTCGCTCAAGAATGCCATGCAGGGCTTCTCGCCCAACCACAAGATTACCTCGTTCGCGGAGGCCAAGGGCCTCGATGCCGTCAACGAGCGGATGCCGCCCCGTCGCGATGCCACACCCTCGCCGGCGGAGGAGGGCCAGAAGACACTGTCGGCGGCGGCAGCAGCAGCAGCCAATGCAAATGCGAATTCAATCACTGGATAATTCTAAGTCAAGTCAGCAGTCAGCAGTCGGCAGTCGGCGGGACGATCGGAACGATCGTTTGTATCAGAGGATTGGAGGAGCGGAGAATTGGATCTCGGGCTTTTTAGGGATCTTGGGGAGCGGATGTCACTTAGTAGTCGAAAGTTAAGCAAACTGTTGGGAGGGAGAATGCAAATAAATAGGAATAAATAGTCTCAAGAGAGCGGCTCAGTGCCAGTAAAAGAATACACACACACACACACACACAGAAACACAGAAACACAGAAACACAAACACAGGCAGACACACAGCATTCATAACAGTGAATGCCAGGGTTGCACGCAAGCGCAGCATCGAAACGAGTGGAATGGAACGCAGCGGAAACTGCAACTGGAATGAAGTGGAGAGAAGAGGAAACGGAAACACACAGAAAACAATAAAAAATAAAATTTTTTCGGCATTGAAGAGAATGAAATGGATGATGAAACGTGAAAAAGAGAAAAATAAAGAAAACCCAGCCTCCCAAGTGGATGCTAATTATAAATGCAGTTGAAAAGGAAATATAGAATTATTATACAATACATATATATGTATATTATAATATATACAGAAATGTATATAACAATTTTGTGCAACATTATATCAAAAAAGAGCGAATGTAAAAGCTAAGCGAGGCTCTCTCTCTCTTCGACAGCAGCATTGCACCCCAAGAAAATTAGGTAAATTTAAATTATATTTGCTAACTAATTGTAAAACGAATTGAAACAAAAATGAGCCCAGCAGCAGCGGCGCTCCCTTTGCCCCCCACCCGCCCCCGAAACCAAACAGAAAACAGATAAGATCAAAAGTGAACAGAATCTACATCTAGTGCATAAATACTAAGCTGGAACTACGATTAATACTAAAGTGAATTCTACTATTTTCGTTGTGTGGCGGCGGCGTCTTGGGTGACTTATATACATACATATATTATATAAATATGTGCGCGGGTGTATTATGTAGGAGATTACGGCCAAGGAGAAGGCTTCTTCAACAGAGAAAACTACTTCCTACAACAGCAAACAAATTACAACAGCAACAATATTTTACTACAATGTTTTATTAAAAGAACAAGAAACGACTGAATCTCTATCTCTCTTTCACTCTCTGTCTCTCTCTCTCTCTTTATATATATATGTATATATATATATCTTTATCTGAATCTTTCTCTCTCACACAAAAACACACACAGACAGACAGACAGACACACACACACACACACACACACACATTAATGCAGAGGATGATCACACTTAAAGTTAGATCGTTCCTCGCGTTTTTATCGCCGCCATTGTCGCCTCACACTCTCTCTCATCTGGTGATTGTGTATGTGGTCTTTATATACGTGCCATCTTTGTCGTAGTCATTAGCTGAATACTATATAAATGATATACAAGATACGAGTACATTATACATATGCGGATTATATTATATAGTACGAGTAACAACCCGATGGAATGCTGCACATCCGATGCACATTGCAGGTGCAAATGGTACTAGTACAAACACAGAGAGGCGAGAGAGTATCTGAATCGAATTGAATGATTCCCTTGATTTTCCACGATTTGCATCCAGGCTCCACATGAATCTCATCTCATCCACCATCATCATCACCATCCCATCCCATCCAATAGCCCTTTTTTCTGAAACTCTCTGACATTTGCGCCTGCGTTGTTGTCGTTGTCGTGTGCAGAATCCTTTTTATACTTAAAGGAATTTTAGTTATTAACAGTCAATCGATCATGTTGAAGATTTGGATAGTGCGAAAAAACTAAAGCAAAAAACGAAAAGTGAAAATTGTGTGCAAACGGGAATTTTGTTATATTTCTTAGTTATTATTCTATAAACCTTTTTTTATATATATAAATACATACTATACATATATTTCTTGTTATCCTTTTTATAATTTGTATTTATTGTAAACTATTTATACACACACAAACAAAAACACACACACACAATCAGCGAGCATAGTATGAATACATAAATATATATATTTATAAACTAAATTGTTGTTTCTACTTCTACTTATGTTGTTTTTTTATATCTATATATATATATACATATATATATATGTATATATATACAACTATATATATTGTATATTTATATTGTTTACTACACTTTTTTCTATAGGCCATAAGTAATTTAATTAAATGAATTTATTAAAATGAAAAAGAAGAAAGGGAGAAAAATATACGAGCATGTGACAAAGGGGCGTGCAAAAAGTTTTCTTAAACAACAAAATAAAATTATATTCTACAAACAAAAAGTAAGGGAAAATAATTAAAACCAAAAACCAAACTATGTGAATTTACTATTAAGTTTAAATTATACAACCAACAAGAAAGGAAAATTAAAAAAAAAAACGAAAACAAACAGCAACAAAAATGAAAGCAAATAACGTTTACAAAAATTAAAAAGAAAGTATGTTAAAGAAAAAGCAACAAAACGAAAAAAAAAAATAAGTTTTCAACTTTGAAAAGACGACAAAAACAACAAAATCCAAGAGAAAGAAACCCAATTTAAAGATTTATAGAAAATCGTAATACAAAATGCAAACTTATAGCAATTTGAAGTACTTTATAATGAAATGGAATATACCTACACACATATGCCTAAGAGAAACGCATACACGAACACGAGTGTGCCCAAACAGAATACATATATAAATATTTGCAAAAATTGAGGCGGAGCCGAGCCGAGCCGGTGACGAAAGCCAGTAAGGAGGGAGAGGGCCGAGAATATACAATACAAATGCAGAAGCATCAGCAACAAACAGCAATCACAAGTGCAGTAAAAACAAACAAACAAAAATAATTAAAGAAAATACCGTTGACAAATTCGAATAAGTTGTTAGTGATGGCAGGAAGCGCGCATGCGCGCACTGAGAGCAAAAAAGTGAGAGCAGCAGGTACAGTCGTGCATCGTGCGTCGTGCCCATGCGCAGCAGCAGCAGCGTTATCAAGCAGTTAAATGATGGTTACAAATGATTTACATTTATATATATATTTACATACAATACCTATATATAAAGCAGTTTAAAGTTAAGCGTTTCACACACACAAAACAAAACAAGACACAGACAAAGACAGCGACAGACAGACACACTCAACAAAAAACCAGAAAAGTTTACAACAAGTTTATGCATTTCAATTCAAGAGAAAAAAGAAACGAAACCGATGAAGAAAACCAATACAAATAATAATGAATATATATATATATACATATACATATATATGAATATATAAACAATAATTACAGCCAATAATGGATTACAGCAACCTCAAAGCTCTTACTATTATTTTTAAAAGTAAATTGCGTCAAATGAGACATTTTTAACAAATCAAATTACTACCGCTACCCACAATACATACACACAATATGTATTTACATATGTATGGTATATAAACAGTATACTTTTCTCCTCCGAGAACGTTTCCCGCAATACCAGCAATACAAATTAGCGCGCTCTTCTAAACAAAAGTAAAGAAAAGAAAAAAAGAAATTAAATTAATATACACATACTATACGGCAAGGAAAAAAAGAAATAATGAGAATCTAAAATATTACGACTAAGCGATTAATATACGGCAAACAAATACTTTTATACTATATACACGAAAGCCTAAAAAACTAAACAAAAAGCAAAAGAAATTAACGATAACGATAACGACTCTCCTCTCTATCTCACAAACTCTCCAAGCTTTCTCCTCTCCCATCTGCACTACTCTCCAGGCCCAAGGCTCACTCAAAAGCTCTCAACTTCAACTTCAACTCCAACTTCGACCTTGACTTCGATTCTTTTTCTCGTCTGTCTCGTCTCACTCACTCTCAATCTCGTCTCTATCTCTTTTCAATGACCTAAGAAAAAAAAAAAAACAAAAACCAACCACACTTTTTAACGGTACATTTTCTACTACACCAAAATATGAATATGAAATATAAAAAAAGACACAAAAAAGAAAAGTGCATAAAAATTACAAATTACAGCAAAGAAAAAATTTCCTTTTAACGAAAATATCAAAAACCAAAAAAATCTCTACATATATTTAGATATACGGTAAAAGAAAAAACAAAATGAAAAAACCAAAAATCCTCCATTCTGTTTTAAGTTTGAAATCGAAAAAAGCACATCAAACATTCAACTATTTCAAATATTTTTTAGGTTTCGTCTCGAGGCTTTTGTTGACCATTTCTAGCCGTTTGTTAATTTGTTGATTAGCTTGAACTATGATGAGCTATGAAGTACAATCAAATCAGATACTTAACTCGTTTTAAATACATCAATTTTGTTAATGATTCTGTTGTTCCTTAACGAATTTATAAGTTATGTAGTCATATGTATATGATAAAAAAAAGAAAACAAAACAAACAAAGAAAATGAATAGGGAAAGTTTCTCGTTCTAGTTTTGGATTAATCTCCAGTGCAAGTGAAAAATCCTTTCATCATTTTTTTGATACATGTATTTTTCAACATCTACTTCCTGCCCTCAAATGCTTTAAAAACTTTACACAAAAAAACAAAACAATTTAATATACATATATATTATAAACAAATGAAAACAGAAAGAAAAGAAAAAAATAAAGATGATGAAGAAAACCCCATGAAAAAAAGAATTAAAACTTTACCTTTTGGATAAATCAATTTAAATGCATATTTTATATATATTTAAACATTTATTTATATATAATATATATGATAATTATAAGTTGGAGAAACTTTGTCAAAGCAAAAAGTTTATATACTTATATTTAAAAATAATGAAATAATATTAAAAATGCAACATAACAAATTAACAAACAAGAAAAAAAAAACATCACATCTAGATAAATCTCTTAAAAATTTTCAATTTTATTATTAAACCAAAACAAAAAGTGAATAAATAAACAAATTTAACAGTGAATGCATTATTATATGTACATATATACATATGTATGTATATATATGTACATATGTATATATACATATATACATATGTAGGATTATGTATATGGGATTTATAAATGTATTGCATAGGCAGATGGCTGGCAAAAAGATTACTTAAAAATTGCGCTGTTGTGACAACAACAAAAATACGTTGTATCCAATCCGGAGATTAACAAATTAATTTACAAGGGAAGATGGAAGAAGACAACAACAACAAAATGCAGACAACAAGTTTTAACATTAAGCGAATAAAACAAAGAAAACCAAATGATTATCAATGTTATTAACATAATTAATATTAACAACAAAAACAAAACAAACAAAAAAACTGAGAAAACAATACAAAAACATTAAAAAAAATATACAAGTACCTATCCTGAGAATAAAATGCGCGCACATTTATTATTTCCTCTAAAAGTTCGTTTGTGTATGGGGGAAGTCCCCCTGGGAATTTCAGAGTTCGAAACATAACGGCTGCCCATCGCGCTGTGGCGCGTACCTCGAAGTATCGAAAGCATGTATATCGATAAGTGTTGCTAGTTGGCGCCTCCAGGCCATAGATTTATCCAGAATTTACTGCTGGCAGTTTTAGTTAACTGCAACAAATTTCGCCGTATGCCAGGGCACAGTTAAAAAATTTGGCAACATAATTTTGACAGTAATAATAGATATGTGCCAAAAAAGTTTGCATGTGGAAGCACCTGTTTTATGCAAACCTGCTAGCCATTCATAGATAACGACGACATTCACCGCTCTGCTGAAAAGTGAACTGGAACTGGATCCGCATCTTTATTGTGCACAGTAATAAACTTTATATATATTGCTGTTTTAATAGCTTATAAATCTAGATTTTCAAAAGAAAAATATTTTCTTTCGTTATTTTAACCATTTTTCTATAGGATTGTCTAAGTGTTGTTTTATTGCATTTATACGTTTATTTTATTTGTACAATTTTGAGACCTTCAAACAATACTCAATAACAGCTTTACCAAGCAATTCAATCAGCAACTTTCTCGTTGTAAATCTTCTAAAAAAAATACATTTTGTGAAGCTGATGGCAGAATGAAATTAGACTTAAAGGGTACTTTCACGTCGAATGTTTATTATACCCGATACTCAAAATGAGTATTGGGGTATATTAGATTTGTGGTAAAAGTGGATATGTGTAACGTCCAGAAGGAATCGTTTCCGACCCTATAAAGTATATATATTCTTGATCAGCATCAATAGCCGAGTCGATTGAGCCATGTCTGTCTGTCCGTCCGTCCGTCTGTCCGTCCCCTTCAGCGCCTAATGCTCAAAGACTATAAGAGCTAGAGCAACGATGTTTTGGATCCAGACTTCTGTGATATGTCACTGCTACAAAAATATTTCAAAACTTTGCCCCGCCCACTTCCGCCTCCACAAAGTGCGAAAATCTGTAGCATCCACAATTTTAAAGATACGAGAAAACCAAAAATCGCAGAATCGTAGAGAATGACCATATCTTTTAGACTGCAGAATCTGAATTGGATCGTATTATTATTATAGCCAGCATCAAGAAAACAATTTCATTTTTTCTCGCCCTGTCTCTCTCTAACACACAGGTAGCATAGGCGGCTTTGCTTAGAGTAAAACATTAGCGCCTAGATCTCAGAGACTATAAAAGCTAGAGCAACCAAATTTAGTATCCACACTCCTAATATATCGGACCGAGACGAGTTTGTTTCAAAATTTTGCCACACCCCCTTCCGCCCCCGCAAAGGATGAAAATCTGGAGTAACCAAATTTGGTATCCGCACTTCTGTTAGATCTCACTATAAAACGTATATCTCAAAATTTCGCCCCACCCCCTTCCGCCCACACAAAGGACGAAAATCTGTTGCATCCACAATATTGCAGATTCGAGAAAACTAAAAACGCAGAATCATAGAGAATGACCATATCTATCCGGTTGCTGAATCTGGATCAGATCGGATCTTTGGATCGGATTTTTGTAGCCAAAAGCAAGAAATCAATTTGCAGTGGCTACGCAGCGCCCGACGTCACGCTCAGACTGATTTTCTGTCTCTCTCGCACTCTTTGTCGTGTCGTTTAATATTTGCGGCGTCTTCCGGAGGAGAGCCATACTGACTTAGTATCGGGTATAACTGTAGAGTTACGGTGTCCGCAGCAACTCACAACGTTCCCCCTCGTTTTTAATCTGAGATTCCTGTCGACGAAGTCTGTTAACGGAAAATCGCAACGGTATATTTCGGTATATGTACTTCTGAGGGACAGCCTGCTTCCAATGGATACTTTTTATAGTATTTTTGAGTATTTTCTTATATTCTCTAGTGTTTTTAGGTGTCACTGTGTACATTAATTATGTAGTTAGAATGTAGTAAATGTGTACCATGTACACAATGAATTTATTGGACATTTTTGTTGACCTTTTTCGTTGAAACCTTAGTTTATAGACAATTCAAATAAGATCTGTACTTACAATGAGCCATTCTTGTATAAAATTGATTAGATTGTCTGATAAAATTATTTTTTCAGTGCTAAGGTAGCTAAGCTAGCTAGTGATACTAAATTGAATATCAAGGAATATCACATCCCTTCATGAACAACAAAAATGCAATCAACCCGTTTTGGACCAGGGGGTGTTAAAATATACCCACGATAATGATGAAACTTGACTCCTTGTCGCTCACTTTAAAAAAAGTTATATTTGGCGCACACCACTGGGCTCATTTTCGCTCTCTTTTAATCGGTTAAGGTTCTCTTTGAACCGGTAGGCAATAATCAGACTCATTCTATACTTTTAAATTATGCAAATTATTAATACCCCTAAAATTGGTATTGATAAGTTAGTTTTAATATGTGTTTGATATACACCACATATAATATATCCATATAAACTTAGTTTTTCATGTGTTGGGTGCTCTTTTCCACAGGTTGAAAAATACTGCACATTAACGGAACCGGTTTTGGTAACAGAAACGGTTTTAAAACGGATCGATGAATTTATGCTTTCGGCCAATGAAAATCATCAAAAAAATCAACATGTTGCTGTAGCAACATTTCTTTTCACCAATGAATCGTCAAAAATGTCTTAGTTAGCCAAGAATAAAAGCAAGTAGTTAAAATAATCCAGTCAAGTAGAAAAATGATTCATTAATTGGATATAATTGTGTGGGCATGGCTAAATGTTCTATCTAGCTTATAATACTTGACGGAACCTCAAAATTAGGCAATATGATTTCCCATCCTTGACGGTGAACGATTAACCTATTATAAGCCAAGGGGGCATTTCAATTTTCCACCGAAATCATTGAAAATTGATGATATGGGGTGTTTTTTTGAAGTTCAAAGGAAAAATGGCATGGATCTGCAAGAAGAATTTACAATCGTTAATATGTTTAGCCATTTACCTGAAGTAGTTGAACTATTTAAATAGAGGGGGCTGAAGTGGGCTAAGTTCGTTTTTTTTATCATAACGAGACGCTATATTGTTGTTGAGGAACCAAAATTGAGGCAAAAATAATGAAAGTCAAGTATTTCAAATAAACCAGTCAAGTAGAAAAATGATTCATTAATCGGATAAAAATATGTGGGCAGCACTGAGAGATCTATCTAGCTAGCAATATTCCACGGAATATCAAAAACGAGGAAACTTGAATTCGTCAGTATATTTACGGTATATCTTTAAAATCAGACGGTATATTTCGGTATATTGCCGAGGGCGGACGGCAGTTTTAACGATAAATCCGCGGTCACACTGCTAGCGAGAGAGAAATTACGACGTCTGCAGGGTCAAGACGAAGCGAAAATACACAAAATACTAAGTGAATATGATTGTTGTTGAGTAAAAACAGCGCATAACGAACACGGCCAGTGGCAGCAACAACAACGAAACTGTTAATTTGCTTAAATCAAAGCTGGAAGGCGATAAAGCGGCTAAGCTCCAACAACAGCAGCAGCAGCAGTAAAAGCAGCGCAGCAACAAAAGCAACAACAACAGCAGCAGCGCAGCAGTAAAAAGTGCCAGTGTGTGTGGGTTGTTTTGTATGTGTATGTGTGTTCGTGGAAATTGAGCCAGGAGGTGGAACAGGGACAGGAATAGTCACACAGGAACAGGAACCAGAGGAACGCCAACGCGAACTCAAACGAAACGGGAACGGTTAGAGAGAGAAAGAAAGAGTGTGTGAGTGCAAGGGAGTGTGAGTGGGTGAGAGAGAGAGAGAGAGTGAGAGGATTTGGAGTCGGAGAACGCAGTCAAGTGGAGAGAGCTCCAATCCAGAGGAGCAGCTCCAACTCCAGCATCAGCCATGTCTTCGAATAATCAATCAAGCGACAGCCAAGTGGCAACAAGTGCCAGCCAGCAGCGAGCCAGCAACGCCTCCACCGCTGATGCTACAGACGCCAACAGCTCCTCCGCCGCTGCGGCTGGTGACGTTGGCTCTTCCACTGTTGCTGGCAATGCCGCCACCTCTGCGGCCGCTGCCACTTCCTCCTCCTCCCAGGCCAGTGCCAACGCCAACGCTGACGCCAACGCCAACGCTAGCAACTCGAACGCCGCGGACCACGACGGTAGCCCTACAAAGCAGGGCAAGCCCCATGGCGGCCATACGGCGATCAACACCAAAGAGCGTGTAGTGGACAGTGTCCCCTTTCCACCCAGCCACAAGCTGACGCTGGCCGAGGTCTTCGATCCGCGCACGGGCAAACCCAATCACGACGTCCTGAAGCAGCACTTTGTGTTGGAGGGGCGCATCGAGGAGGCGCCCGCCCTTAAGATCATCCAGGACGGAGCCGCGCTGCTGCGCCAGGAGAAAACCATGATCGACATCGAGGCGCCGGTGACGGTCTGTGGGGACATACACGGCCAGTTCTACGATCTCATGAAGCTGTTCGAGGTGGGCGGTTCGCCGGCCACCACAAAGTATCTCTTCCTGGGCGACTATGTGGACCGAGGCTACTTCAGCATCGAGTGCGTGCTGTATCTGTGGTCGCTGAAGATCACCTATCCGCAGACGCTGTTCCTGTTGCGCGGCAACCACGAGTGCCGGCACCTGACCGAGTACTTCACCTTCAAGCAGGAGTGCAAGATCAAGTACTCGGAGCGCGTGTACGACGCGTGCATGGACGCGTTCGACTGCCTGCCGCTGGCGGCGCTAATGAACCAACAGTTCCTGTGCGTGCACGGCGGCCTGTCGCCGGAGATACACGAGCTGGAGGACATACGGCGGCTCGACCGCTTCAAGGAGCCACCCGCCTTCGGCCCCATGTGCGACCTGCTGTGGTCCGATCCGCTGGAGGACTTCGGGAACGAGAAGAACTCGGACTTCTACACGCACAACTCGGTGCGGGGCTGTTCGTACTTCTACAGCTATGCCGCCTGCTGCGACTTCCTGCAGAACAACAATCTGCTGTCGATCATCCGGGCGCACGAGGCGCAGGACGCCGGCTACCGCATGTACCGCAAGAGCCAGACCACCGGTTTCCCCTCGCTGATCACCATCTTCTCGGCGCCCAACTATCTCGATGTGTACAACAACAAGGCGGCGGTGCTGAAGTACGAGAACAACGTGATGAACATCCGGCAGTTCAACTGCTCGCCGCACCCCTACTGGCTTCCCAACTTCATGGACGTGTTCACCTGGTCGCTGCCCTTCGTGGGCGAGAAGGTCACCGAGATGCTGGTGAACGTGCTGAACATCTGCTCCGACGACGAGCTGATGACCGAGGAGAGCGAGGAGCCGCTCTCGGACGACGAGGCGGCGGCGCGCAAGGAGGTCATACGCAACAAGATCCGGGCCATTGGCAAGATGGCGCGCGTCTTCTCCGTGCTGCGCGAGGAGTCCGAGAGTGTCCTCCAGCTGAAGGGCCTGACGCCGACGGGCGCCCTGCCCCTCGGCGCCCTCTCCGGTGGCAAGCAGTCGCTCAAGAATGCCATGCAGGGCTTCTCGCCCAACCACAAGATTACCTCGTTCGCGGAGGCCAAGGGCCTCGATGCCGTCAACGAGCGGATGCCGCCCCGTCGCGACCAGCCTCCTACGCCCAGCGAGGACCCGCACCATCCACAGCCGTCACATCACAGTCAAGGCAACAGCAACAACGGTGCGGCGCATGGGTAAGCGGCAAGCCGCAGATCGGATCGACTGTGCAGGCAGGCGGTACGGCAGTGGTACGGAGTGGAGTGGAATGGAGTACAGTGGAGTGGAGCAGAGCAGAGTGGAGTGGAGTGGAGATAGAGGCAGTGACAGTGGCAGTGTGGATGGACCTTTATTTAGTAAAGTGTCAACGATTTGTCGTTTTAGCTAAACATCAAACTGTAATCGAGCTGTAACTGAACCTCAAGCATGGCCCGAAGCAGAAACGGAAAAACACCAACAAACAACAACAAAGATGATCCTTAATTAAGCTTAAAGTGTGGCAGAACAGCAACTTAAACAAACCAACAAAAAACCACCCAGTTCTATATCTAAGTATAAATGTATGTAACAGCTCCAGCTCCGACTTTCGACCACTTCCACGACCACTACTGGATGCACGCAGCATGCAGCGTGCGGCATTCAGCGGCAGCCGACAAATTTGTTTTAGCACAGGCGCGCATCGCGGCGCATATTGGATATTAGAATTATGTGTTGCATACTTTGGCGGGCCGGCCGCAAGAATTCCTTTTCTCAAGAAAACCCCAACCCCAGAAAACCCAGAAACCCCCCATAATTCTTAGCTTAAGTTGTAATGTATAAAAAAAGAAGCGAAACCCGAATGGGAGAAAAACCTTGAATGAAAAATGAACAAAACACACACATAAAAAGAACAAAACAAAAAAAAAAAGAAACTAAAACTAAAACTAAATAGAAGAAAAAAATGATGGTAAAAATCCAGCGCTAATCTGTTAAAAACATTTAGCAGCGCCAAAAAGAAGCGAGCATATACATATGGAATATATAAATATATATTTAAATATCGATCTATAACTAAACAAATATGAAGATGAAAACATGAATATTGAATATGAACAAAAACAAAAACAAAACAACAACATACTTTTGTGCAATCCTTGTCTTGTAATCCTTAACATAAACTTGAAAAGCATGAAAATGATTGAAGAGAAGAGAAGAGAAGAGAAGAGAAGAGAAGAGAAGGGAGAAACCAGTTTGCAATATGTGCCGCAATAGTCCATAAATGTTCCTTATACGAATTAAACTTGAAAAACAAAACAAAACAAAAGGAGAGTTTACCTTTTTTTTATATGTATGTATACATATACTATATATATATTTATATATGTATATACTATATGTATATTTATAATATATTAATTAATACATGCATATATCTGTATAATTGTTGCTTAATATAACTTTCGAATTAAATCTGTTACATATTCGATGTACTATCTGTGTGTATGATGGACGCGTGTGTGGCGGCTGTATGGTTTATTGCGTTTTATCAACCGAAAACCCGAATCGAATCGAGTCCTGATTATCATTATGTAAAGAGTAAAGAGCAAGAGTTTAGCTAATTAATTAATGAATATGATGCATTTTAAATGATTGATTGATTGATTGATTCGGAACACACACAAAGACACCGACGCCCACACCAACACCCACAAAGCGGAAACAAAACGTTTCCCATTTAACTAGCAAATCAGATATTTAAATAATAATTACTTAATAGAAATGTAATTGATGATATAAATATCCCCCCCTCGTGTACATTCAACTAACTACTCTTAGAACACAATTATTTCTGTTGGAACACACCCACACACGCCAGAGAGGAGTACACCTTTCGGTTTATTCTCAAGGTTATTATTTTCGATTTATTTTTGCTTTGATTTCCACCCACAGACACACACACACACACTCACACAAACATTAACGATGCAAGTCTTTGAGATAGAGTTTCCAATTAAGTAAAAATGTAGCTAATTAAGTATGTATATTGTATAAGGCATGGAACGCTGTGGAACAGGCGTTTCAATTCAATTCAAGAGATGGCAATCAATTCCTTCTACTTCCACCCTTCCCGCCCCAATTCCTTAACTTAACATAGCCCCATTCTATGCAGCGTTCGCTTGTTCCGCGCGCAACGCGTTCGAATAGTGTTACAAGAGAGATATATAGTATTTATAGCCGACTTTCCAATGTCAAATCAAAATATAGACATATATATATATGAATATATACGCATTGTAATAGGGAGAATCACACAACAGATGCCTTCATCCAGCACCACAGCACACACAACCTGCACGCTCGCGGACTCCAGTTTCCAGTTTCCAGCTCCAGCTCCAGTTTCGCTTCGTTTCGACTCGAGCCCATTCCCCCCGCACGGCTGTACTTTGCTTATATTCTGCAAGACCACCATACAATACCTTCCTCACCCTTCAATTTAATATTAATATACAAGTACATACAGACATATATGAGGTGTATGGTATATGAGGAGTAACGATTGGATAAAACAATTAGTTTTTAGTGTAATATGCACACACACACACAAACACATAGACACGTGCGTACGTATCGTCAAGCTACCAAAAATTATTTCTATCGTAGTTAACAAAACAAATTCCAATTCCCGATTGGAGCGGAATAAAACTTAGCTTTTATAAAGGGGACATCTACCCAACTTATTGAGAGATGGCTACCACTTAAACAAATACAAATATACATATACATATATAATAGTGACACTATTTTTTTTGACTCAGCAACAGACACAAAATCACACACACACAACAGACAAGAAGAAGAATGAGGAAAGGACAAGAGAATAAACTAACTATATAAATATTAAAAATCGACAAAATGATGATGATATGAATGATGAACAAGAATAGAACAAGAATACTTATAGTTTAAGTTTCAGTATTTCCGTTTCCTCTATTGTTGTTGAAAACTGTTAAATCGCAAATGCATATTTAGTTAGTACGGAGGTAATTGAAACAGGGGGCTTCCCCTAGAAAACAAAAAACAGAAACCGAAACCAATGGCAATTTGAAATTGATTGATTCCACAAGTCAAGTATACAGAATGAGATAACACCAAAATAATATGGAGAAATACCAAATATGGTAAAGTATTATATGAAGCATAATGTCTAACTAAACGATCGATTTGCTTAGCTCTCCCCACACTCCCACTCACCCACTCAACCATTCCATAAGTAACGTAACGTAACTCTCGAATGAGATGAGTTTGAGGAGGCTCTGCTCTTTCGATATATGGCAAATACACGCCACTAAATAAATAATACATATTAACTTGCATATACATATAGTGAGAAATGGAAGATGTGGAAACGCAGATCTGTAGATTTTGATAATATATCAAGACCATACTAAATACTTTATGGATCCATTAATCGTTGAACACAAAGCATAAACCGAATCAAAAGAACACACACGTTACTGTTAAAGCGCGATCTGGATCGGCGATAGTGGCGTGTGGCGTGCGTGGCCCGAGATGTAGATGCAATCCAGAACAGAAGATGTGCATGGTACTTACATACATATATAAGACATTTCGCCTCTTAAAGCAATTATAAAGATAACAAATGAGTAATGTTTATTATATTATTAAATTATATATACATATACATATTATATAAACAAAATAAAATAAATCAGCAGCAAAATTTCCATTTTATGGCTGTTTTTTTCTCTCATTGTCCTGGTAAATAAATTGTTGGCTATTTTTTTGGGATATATTAACGGAATTTTATAAATTTAGAAAAAATCCGTAAAAATTTGTATGTTGTCTAACATTTTTAAGCAAAAAAAAAGATTCGATAGATTAATCGATTTTTTATAATATTGGCATATCTTTAATAGAGTACTTTCAAAACAAATTAATTCAATTAATTCTGTTACTGCACAGGGGTGAAATAGCAACAGAGACACCTGACGATGAAATCTATCAAGTGTGATGTAGATAAATATCCCAATGAAAAGAATATATTTTTCAAAATAATTTATCGAACTGGTATCGGAGCTAATACTGAAAACTAAACACCGCACTATTCTAATGGGCCTGTGTAATAAATACATACGTATATAAATAGGCATAACTGATATATAGACTATTGCTGTCCAGAAAATACTTAATGCGTGCTTCCCTGCATCATTTATTCCACTGGATTGTATTGTTCACTCATTCACTTTTAAGGCTAGGCGCGCAGCTCCGCTATGCAGTCGATAGTATCGATAGCCGTTTGACGGGACTTTCTCTTCTTTTGTGGGATTAAGTTTCTTTTTTTCATAGGTATATTTACGGTATATATTGGTATATTTTGTCAATTTCATCAATCTAATTTTTGAAAGGTATATTTAAGAAGAAAGGGTATAGAATTTTGCTCAAAAATCGTACTAACGCGTATCATTTATTTCAATAGATTCCATTTAAATCTTTTTCGTCATTCAATTTCAAACAATTTCCATTTGGCGCTTGAGTTTGGTGGTACTTTTTTGGGATTTCCTCTGATGCGATTTTTACTCGCCACAATGTCCCTACATTCCCTACTCACTAACGTTTTCTTACGTCTTTTCTTGCTGGCAACATTCAATATGCATTGGCCAGGCTCATGTGCCGAGAAATCGAGCAGCGTAGAAAATAAAATTAGACGGTATATTTTGGTATATTTCTGAGGGTCGGACGGTATATTTTATCGATAAGTCCGCGGTCACACTGGTGTGTGTGCGTGTGCCGTGTTTTTGTACCGCCGCAAAAAAAAAAAAAATCGAAATTATAATCAACCTAGATGCTCTGTAACCACTTACCATTTGGAAATTGATTAGTTGCGCCTACATTATGCTGAAGTATTACCAATCATAGAACAAAGCAATTTTCGAACATCAGAAACACGGTAAAAAGGGTAAAAGCAAATTCTCGCGCCAGGTTGCCTATCCCTGTGTGGGTGTGTGTATTAATGAAGTGTGATTGTGTGCTCGGTGTGTGGGAAAGTAAAGTGTATGATTAAGTGCAGTCGCTGGGCGGCCGCAATAACCATTCAACAGTCAACAGGAAACGCCATCGCTCATCCCGCTTCTTTTTCTCGTTGCAAAACAGAGTCTTCCCCAACATTCGGTGATACTCAACGCAGAGCAAACCAGAGCAGCAGCCACACATCATTAGCAGCAGGAGAAGCAGCCGCGGACAGTTTCCAGTTCCAGTTGGTGCCCCAAAAAAATGGATAGCAAGGGACGCAATGTCATTGT